GACTTGTAAATCGAATTATCTTTGCAACGACCACTAGACCTCTTGGGATGCATAGTTGGGCATGATCAAATTTTAGCGACGTTGCCGGGGAATTAATGGTGTTATTAATTACGCCTAAAAGAATTGTTAGAATTCGTAGTTTATTCAGCTTTCTCGACTTGAAATTCATTATACTGAAACTCTAACATTTGTATTCTTGGGTGTTACAGGTGCATGCCTAGAAACTCCTCAAGAACTGGTGAATTGTTTGAAGCATTATCGGATCCTGAGAAAGTTTTCAAGGCATTAAAATCGGGCAAACAAGAAGGAAAAACGACAACAAAACTCAATAGAATGAATCAATCTAGACATGGGTGACGTAATAGACAACCCAAACAACAGAAATAATGGGAATGAACCAAACAATCAGGGTGTGGCACCTCTTGTGCCAGAAGCAGCCTTGTATGATTGGGCACAACTCACCGCTGAAAATCTGGCAACCACAATTGTAGTCCCTCAGATACAAGCGGAATCATTTAAAATCACAAACAATATGCTACATTTGTTGCAGAACAAGGGACTGTTCTCGGGGTCTTCCATTGAAGATCCTCAGCAGCATCTGAAAAATTTCCAGTCGGTATGTGTCATGCAAAGGCAACCAAATATGACACTGGAAGCAACAAGGTTGTTTTGTTTCCATTCTCAGTGGCGGGAGAGGCTCAGAATTGGCTCAATTCGTTCCCCATAAACTCCATCACCACTTGGGAGGAATTAGTCAAACAGTTTTTGAACAAGTTCTACCCACCGAATAAGACTGCCAAGCAAGTTGATGAGATATTGAGCTTCAGGCAGAAACCAGCTGAAACACCGCAAGAAATGTGGGAGAGGTTCAAAGGGATGCTAGTAAAGTGTCCACATCATGGCATTCCAGATCAGATGTTGGGGAAAAGGTTCTACATGGGATTGACAGACAGCTTGAAGGCCAATGTTGATGCTTCAGTAGGTGGAGCATTTTTAAGCAAATCATTCAGGGAATGTAAGGTCTTACTTGATAAAATTGCTCAAAACTCGGGATGGATGACAAGAGACTCTACAATCACTTACGTAGTTCACTCAGTAGCTTTAGACCCAAACAACTCCATAGCCGAGAATATGGCCACTTTGATGACGGAAATGAGTATCCTCACCAAGAAGATTGATGAATCAGGCCAGAAGCAGGTACACATAGTAGACACGACTAATGGGGGTTTATGTATAACATGCATTAACCAACCATATCTGTGTTCGTGGAGTGGTGAATATGAAAGTGACAATCAAAGCTACCAAGAGAATATGAACTATGTGGGCAATTATGGAGGCCAGAGGCAAGTTGGTCAGAATTGGGGTCAGCAGAATCAGTAGTATAGACCAGCACATCATCAGTACAATAACAACAACAATCCTGGAGTTATGCAACCACATGGTCAAGTTGTGCCTTACCAAAGGCAACAAGGGTACAATCAGCAAAATCAGCAGCTAGCTTATCAACAGCCTCAACAACAACAGATAGTGAGACAAGATGATGGGTTGTCTGAAATTAAAGAAATGCTACAACAACTGATTGGGTCCAATGGAAAAATGCAAGAGAAGGTGGAAGCACATGACTCAGCGATAAAAGGCATTGAGATTCAATTAAGGCAAATATCTATGGCTCTGAACAATCGTCCCTAAGGGACTTTATCTGTAGACACGCATGTCAATCCAAAAGAGCAGGTCCCAAAGCAGCTTATGGCGGTGAGTCTAAGAAATGGTAGAGATCTTGATCTAGAGCAAGAAATTGCTCGCGAAAGCGGACCAACTGAGATACTTGTGCCAGTACCAATTGAGGTAGATGAGTCAACTGAGCTAACAAAAGTAAGACTGCAGCCAGCCCAAGAGGAACTAAACAAAGAAAAAGAAGTTGAAAAAGAGGCTAAGGGAGTGCAAGAGAAGGCAATAGAAAAAGTGCCCGAGTTGGCTCTAACTCAAGTCACAAGAATGAAGCGACCACCAGCACCCTTTCCGCAAAGGTTGGCCAACTATCAGAAGGATGAGCAATATAAGAAATTCATGGATATGTTGAAGCAGATTCAGGTGAACAGTCCACTGATTGATGCCTTAAGGGAGATGCCCGGTTATGAAAAAATGATGAAGGACATAATGTCCCGCAAGTTCAACATTCAAGACTTGGAAACTGTGATAATGACCTAGACCTGTAGTGTTGTTGTAACAAGACCTATAGTAGAGAAGCTACCCGACCCAGGGAGTTTCCCAATTCCGTGCACCATAGGCAGCTATGCTTTTGTAAAAGCATTGTGTGATTTGGGGGCGAGCATAAACCTGATGCCCTTGTCTATCTATAAAAGGTTAGGCATTGGAAGGGCAAGAACTATATCTATGTTACTACAACTAGCTGACCGAACGGTGAAGAGGCCATCAGGTATACTTGATGATGTACTTGTGCAGGTTGGAAAGTTAGTGTTTCCGACAGATTTTGTCATTCTGGATTGCCGGGTTGACGAGGAAATTCCCATAATTTTGGGAAGGCCATTCTTGGACACTAGGAGAGCTCTAATTAATTGTGAAACTGGGGAGCTAAAGATAATACTGAACGATGAAGAGATAACATTCAACGTGTAGAAGTCTATGTGGCGACCAAGTGAATTTGCTAACTACTCTCTGATTGAAGTTGTGGATGTGATTTTGGAGGAGGAAGATGAGACAGTAAACACAAAAGACCCTCTAACATCCTGCCTGATGAACTTAGAAGAGGTAGATGATGAGGACTTGGCGGAGTGGGTTTTGCCCCTTGAAGGCTAAAGGTACTGGAAAAGAGAGCTCGAATTCGAGCCTTTAAACTTAGAAGAAAGAAAGACCCCTCGTGCTAAGCCATCAATTGAAGAGACACCACAATTGGAGCTAAAACCATTACCGTCTCACCTCAAGTATGTTTTCTTAGGACCGAACTCGACTTTACCCTTTATTATCTCAACTGGTTTGTTAGATGTGCAAGTAGAACAGCTTTTGCAGGTCCTGAAGGAGTGCAAAATTGCAATCGGTTGGACCATTGCAGACATAAAGGGTATCCGCCCAACTTTTTGTATGCATAAGATTCTACTGGAAGATGGGCACAAACCTTCATGAAAAACATCAAAGAAGGCTGAACCACAACATGAAAGAAGTTATGAATAAAGAAGTGATCAAGTGGTCAGATGCGGGAATCATCTTCCCTATCTCTGACAGCAACTAGGTCAGTCCAGCTCAGTGTGTGCCAAAGAAGGGTGGAATGACTATAGTGCAAAATGAGAACAACAAGTTGATCTCAATAAGAACAGTCACCGGATGGCGAATCTGCATGGATTACAGATGAATAAGGCCACCCGAAAAGACCATTTCCGGCTACCATTCATTGATCAGATGCTAAATAAATTGGCAGAGAGGTCCCACATTTGCTTTCTGGATGGATACTCGGGGTATAGTAAGATCTCTATTGCCCCGCAGGATAGAGAGAAAATGTCGTTCACCTGTCTGTATGGCATCTATGCCTTTCGGAGAATGTCGTTTGTCCTATGCAATTCACCCGCCACATTCCAAGGTGCATGGTGTCCGTCTTCACAGATATGATAGATGATATAATGGAGGTTTTCATGGATGATTTCTCAGTGGTGGGAAATTCGTCTGATGATTGCCTTAAAAATCGGAAAAGAGTGTTGCGGAGATGTATGGAGACTAATCTGATGCTAAACCGGGAAAATTGCCATTTCATGGTACATGAAAGTATAGTTTTGGGACATCTAGTGTCAAGTAAGGGCATTGAAGTAGACCATGCTAAGGTTGATATAATTGAGAATTCACCTCCACCCACTTCTGTCAAGGCCATAAGAAGCTTCCTTGGTCATGTCGGCTTTTACAAAAGATTTCTCCAAAATTGCTAACCCTTTGTGTATATTGCTTAAAAAAGATCACCCCTTTTTATTTTCTGATAACTGTAGGGTAGCTTTTGTGGAGTTGAAGAAGAGGTTGGTGACTGCACAAATTATAGTGGCAACTGACTGGGAGCAACCTTTTGAGCTGATGTGTGAAACAAGCGACTATGCTGTGGGAGCATTTCTTGGGCAGCAAAAAGATAAATTCATGCATCCAATCTACTATGCAAGTAGAACCTTGAGTGGTGGCCAACTAAATTATACAGTGACCGAGAAAGAGATGCTAGCAGTTGTGTTTGCATTTGACGAATTCAGGTCATACCTGGTAGGCTCGAAGGTAATTGTTTGTACTAACCATGCTGCTCTTAGGTACCTAATTGAGAAGAAGGATTCAAAGTCGTGCCTGATTTGATTGGTGTTACTGCTATAAGAATGTAACTTAGAAATCCGTGACCGAAAGGGAATGGAGAACCAAGTGGCTGATCACTTATCTAGGCTGGAAGGAGCATAGAAGAAGGTTGAGGTGGAAGAGATTGCAGAGACTTTTCCGGATGAACAACTATTGGCCACGGGCCTTGAGGTAACACCATGGTATGCAGATATTGCAAACTACCTGGTAAGCGGTATTATCCCCTAAGACCTTTCCGCTATCCAAAAGAAAAAGTTCTTTCATGACTGTCGCATGTATGATTGGGATGAGCCTTATCTGTTCAGGATTTGTGTTGATAACATGATCCGGAAATGTATCCCCAAGACATACCAATCTTCTGTTTTGTAGGCTTGTCACGCATCCCCATATGGTGGCCATTTCGGAGGAGTAAGGACAGCCGCAAAAGTGTTGGAGTCGGGTTTCTACTGGCCGACATTGTTTAAAGATGCACACCTCTGGGTAAAGGGTTGTGATGATTTCCAACGTACCAGAAATATTTCTCGCCGACATGAGATGCCCATGAGCCTAATTCAGGAAGTGGAAGTGTTTGACGTATGGGGAATCAATTTCATGGGCCTTTCGTCAGCTCATATGGCAACAAGTACATACTTGTAGCTGTGAACTATGTGTCAAAATAGGTGGAAGCTATGGCACTCCCTACAAATGATGCAACGGGAGTCATTGGTTTTTTGAGAAAAAATATAAGCACCCAGTTCGACACTCTAAGGGCAAGAATTAATGATAGAGGCACTCAGTTCTGCAACCGAGCTTTCACAAAGTTGTTAGAAAAATATGGTGTTCGCCATAAGATTGCCATCCTATATCATCCACAAACAAGCGGGCAAGTGGAAGTGTCTAATAGAGAAATAAAGAGTGTGTTGACAAAGACCGTGAATGCTACAAGAACAAATTGGGCGAAAAAGTTAGACGATGCACCAGGGCCTATCGTACAGCTTTTAAAACTCCAATTGGCATGTCTCTATATAAACTAGTGTTTGGGAAAGCATGTCACTTACCCGTGGACTTGGAGAATAGAGCTTTGTGGGCATTGAGGAAGCTGAATCTCGACATGGAAATAGCGGGTACAAGTAGAGTCACAGAGTTGCACGAGTTTGACGAGTTCCGTTACCATGCTTTTGAAAGTACAAGGCTATATAAGGAGAGAATGAAGATGATGCATGATAAAAATATTCTTGAGCAAAATCTTAAACCTGGAGACGTGGTATTGCTATACCATTCGAGATTGAAGTTGTTTCCGGGCAAGCTGAAGTCTAGATGGTTGGGACCATTCAGAGTAGTGCAGGTGCTATCAAATGGAGCTGCAGAAATTGAGTCCGAGGATGGGACGAATAGGTTTAGAGTGAATGGGCAAAAGTTGAAACACTACCTAGGAATGAGTACAGATAAAGGAGAGAAAGATGTGATACAATTAAATGAACCTCAATATGTGAATGAAGTATAATCCGGAAAGTTTGCATCGTGCCGCGATGTTAAATCAGGCGCTTTGTGGGAGGCAACCCATTGTAATGTTGTAATTCGTTGTGTCGCGGTGTTAAATCAAGCGCTTGTTGGGAGGCAACTCAATTTTCTTGTTTTCGTCTAGTTGTCATTAAGTCTCTCTTAAAAAGAAAAAAAAGAAAAGAACGCGGGGGACAGCGAAGCGAAGCTAGCTTCGCGAGACAGAGACCAAGAATGTTGAGGAGAAAACTTTTGGGGATAGCGAAGTGTGTCTCGCTTCGCGAGACTAGGACCAAAAGAGAAAGAAAAAGAGAAGAAGGGACAGCGAAGTGCCCATGGCTTTGCGAGATCGAGAGTGGCCACAACTGAACAGGTCAAAGGGCGCGTCTCCAAGTCGCGCGGTCCCGGCGCGACCCCAGGTAATTTCTTAATTTTTTTTCTATTTTCTATTTTTCTGTTTTCTAGTTAGTTTATACAATAAAAATATTAAAAAAAAACTCTCTCGTTCCCTTAGGTCATGACACTATTGGCAAATTGAACCAAATGTAGCTTAACAAAAGTTATGCACATAAAGTGTTCGATGATTTTTTTGAATGAATTTTTTTGGTGAGGTTTAGTGAAGTCTGAGTAGCTAACCTACCGTTATTGGCAATACAAACATATCTTAAGTGTGGGGTGGCCGTTGGCTGTCTTATGAACTTCAATTGTGCTATTTCAAAGACAAGTATCATCCGCGGCCAAGTTAGGCATAACTGAGGTGTGCCTTACCCACATGTTGTTGGATTGTGCTAATTAACATGGAATAACTATCAAGTTATAGACTGATACAGAGGGGCTCCAGACAGTTGATTTGAGTGCTACTGATGGTACTATTGTAGAGGAGCCAGGACTAGCAGCTGTGACCGAGGTTAACTACCGGTCCTCACCTCGACCCGAGCAATTTTGAGGGAGTTTATGGCACCCACTCTACTTTTGATCTTGCTTACTTGCTTTTCTGTGATATTGTGCAACTGAGGATAATGCACATTCTTAAGTGTAGGGTGGAGTGTCGGGCTTTAATTTTTGTGACATATGCTTAATTGCTAGTGATACATTTTGAATTGCATGATCACTCTTATAGCCATTGTAATTGTATAATTGTAGTAGTTTTTTTTGGTAGTGGCTTAATCCCGGATTTTCTTTAGACCACCGTTCTTTCCCGAGGATGCCATTTTCTTGAACCGGGTATTTTTAGGTAGATCTTTTTTCCCAAGCATTGTCAAGAATTGTGGACTCTTTCCAAAGATGGATTACCTAGACAGTTTTCTTGAGGGACTAAAGTCAAAAGAAAAATACAAAAACATTTTTTTTGTGATTTTGACAATGGAATTGGAAGAAGTTTGAGTAATTTGTGCTTTTGACATGTTTTATACTGAGGCTTAGGTCTGAAGCATTTGAACTGAGTACTTTCTTCATGATCTCTATAATTACATGCCTCGACAATATGTGTGGCTTTCTTTGGCACTGAGGCTCATCTTTGACTCTTTTGATTAATTCTCATGTGCTCCAATTTTATGGTGACTGTGCTAGTTGCTTTAACTTAAGAGTCGGGTCTGAACCATCCTGAGTGAGTCATGTGCATTATGTGAGGTGAGATGTTGGTGTACTTTGTGCCATCTTTGCTAGTCTAGAACTTTCCCCGTGTATGAGTCAAAGCGAAATGATTAAGTCTTGTAAGTTTGGGAAGTGACTTAGGCTTTCTTTGGTTGACAATTTAGCATATTTGCCTACCAGTACTAAGAGTATCTGTAGTCAACCCTTTTGAGCCTGTGGATCTTTTTTTTGGCAATCACATTACAAGCCGAATCCCCTTTGTTCTTAATCAATCTCGTGGAACCTTTACCTCTGAAAGCACTTAAGTAGCTAGAAGACTAAAGAGAGAGAGTAGGTAGCTTTTGAGTGGAACCATAGAAAGGCCGAAAAGGTGCACTTGTGTACAAACAAAAAAAGATACTAGCCGAAAATACCAAATTAAGGAGAGTGAAAAAAATAAAAATAAAAAGAATAACACCTCTCATATCTTTGTCCAGGCTAGTAAATATCTATATGTTGATGTGCTTTAATGAAGAAGGGCCTAAATGTGTATGGTTTCATGACAAGACATTGAATTTGTCATGACAAGGAGGTGCTTAAAAGTGAAGTGTAGTATATTAAAGTGCTTAGGAGGGTTAGTCACTATTTTCTCACATATATCCTACCCGTGCCTTAGACTACATTACAACCTATAAAGTCCTACTTGATCCTTGACTTTACGAGCTTAAATTAGTAGGGAATTACACTAAGGGAAAGCCTATGGTATTAACTTGGGTGGCATAAGAGTTTCTTTGTGATAGTGAGCAAATTCATTCGATTTGAGAGTCTTTAAATTATACTTGAACTTATATTTGAGTGTGTGGAATACTTTTTCTCTATGTTTTGTTTGTGAGGGCACATGATTTGCAAAGGATTGGTAGAGACCTTGCTTTTTGAGTTGGCACAAGGAGCGAGTCATACTATGGAATGCATTAGAGTCAAGTTTTGAGGCGAGGATGTGTAACGACCCGGCCGGTCGTTTCATGAGTTACAGTCCCGTTCGCCCCCTTTCTGCTTCTTTATGCGTTGTTCAGCTGTATTTCATCATATCGTGTTGGTTGTTCTTTGTTCAGAATGGTCATGGAGTGAAAATGAGACACTTAGTCTCTTATTTGGAAGCTTTAGTTGGAAAAGTCAACCGGAAGTTGACTTGGGACTAAATGATCTCGGAATTTTGTTTTTTTGGTCCGGATAGCTTAGTTAGGTAATTTAGGACTTAGGAGCATTTTCGGAATGTATTTTGGAGTTCCGTGGTAGATTTAGGCTTGAATTGGCGAAATTGGAAATTTGGCATTTTTCGGTCGGCAGTGGAAATCTTGATATGGGGGGTCAGAATGGAATTCCGAAAATTTGAGTAGGTGCATTGTGTCATTTGTGACGTGTGTGCAAAATTTCAGGTCATTCGGATGAGGTTTGATAGGTTTTTTGGATCGGTTGCGGAATTCGGAAGTTGGAAATCCTTTGGCTTTAATCCGAGGGTGATTTGGTGTTTCGGCGTTGTTTTGAGTGTTCCGAGGGTTGGTATGAGTTTGAAAGATGATATGTGACTTGTTCGTATTTTTGGTGGAGGTCCCGGGGGGTCTCGGGATGAATTCAGAAGGTTGTTGGAAAGTTTGGTTTTGAGATGAGCAGCTTCAGCTGCTGCTCCTATCATAACCGCAGGGATTGGAGACCGCAGGTGCGGGGTCCGCAGAAGCACTAGAGCGACCGCAGAAGCGGTTAGGGCCAAGGAGGCCAGGCACCGCAGATGCGATGGGAGGAGCACACCTACGTGATCGCAGGTGCGAGTATTAGGCCGCAGATGCGTCTAAGATCGATTAAGTGAAAACCGCAGATGCGGTTGGTTAGACCGTAGAAGCAGTACCGCAGAAGCGAGAAAGGAGCCGTAGGTGCAGAATCCCAAGGCAGAAACTATATAAGCATCCCTTCGCGAATTTTTGCCCATTTCCATCATTTTTGAGACGGGATTGGAGCTTTTGGAGGGTTTTGAAGAGGAAATCAAGGTGATTCTTGTTGAGGTAAGATTTTTGAACTTAATACTCATATCTATGGTGAAATTCAGTTGACTAAACATGGAAATTGAAGAGATTAAGGGTGAAAATTGGGAAATTACGAGAGAGTTAAAATTGGGGATTTGAGGGGCCAATTGAGGTCCGATTTTGATGATTTTGGTATGTATAGACTCGTGAGAGGATAAGGATTCTAGTGTTGTGATTTTTATCGTATTCCGAGGTGTGGGCCTGGGGGTCGGGTTTGACCAATTTCGGGATTTTTAAGTTTATTTGATAATTTTCGCGTGGGCTTTGTTCCTTTGGCATGTATTGATCTTATGATTCTGATTTTGGATAGATTCGGAGCGATTTGAGGCCGAGTCAAGAGGAAAGGTCATTTTGGAGTAGATTTCCGTCCGGTTTGAGGTAAGTAGCGATTGTAAATCTAGACCCGAGGGTATGAAACCCCAGAATTTCGTACTGTTTTGATAAATGAGGTGATGCACATGCTAGGCGACGAGCGTGTGGGCGTGCACTTGTAGGGATTGTGACTCTGTCCGTTCCGTGACAACTGTAGAGTTGCATATTTTGATAAACTCTAAATGATATCTATGTGTTTTAGAAATGAATCTGTTAATTTGGGCTGAATGCCATGTTTGGGGCCTTGTGCCGAACTGCTTGGATCCTCAGGGGTGTTTTACTACTTTCCTCACACTGTTTTGATTCAAAAGCATATCCTCAGCCATGATTTTACTTGTTTATTATTTGATTCAGTTTCATTAATCTACTTTCAAATATATGAAAACTGTTTGGGCTGAGTTCCCCGATTTTCACTGATGCCCGAGTGGCTGTGAGTTTAATGACTGAGAGAGATCGAGGGCCTGATAGTGAGGATTATATACATTTATGGATCGGGCTGCACGGCGCAGCGTGTGTGTCTCTCTCTCTCTCTCTCTCACTATATATATATATATATATATATTTGGATTGGGGTGCACGCCGCAACGATATGCATTAGATCGGGCTGTACGTCGCAGCGATATAGGCTTGGGCTGTAGGAGCCCCTCTGGAGTCAGTACCCCCAGTGAGCGTAGTTGACTATATATATTTACAGATCGAGCTGCACGCCGCAGCGACTATTATTATGAGATACCTATTGAGCGGGAGTGCTGAGTGTGAGTGCTTATTGATGAGAGATGGATCATGAGTGACTGAGAGGCTTTCCAGAGGGGCTATACTTATGAGTATACTTTGACCGAGGGGCTTGCTTATGAAATTACTATTTCCACTGTTCTTTTATCTTGAGCCTCTATGAAAAAATGTTGAACAAATGCTTTAAAGAACTTTCATTGAAACTGGAGTTTTTACGAGATATTGGTAATTGAACTACATATTTTGACTT